TATATATATATATATATATATATATATATATATATATATATATATATATATATATATATATATATATATATATATATAAACGAGGTGACATTGCGTCGCCTCGGCGACGTCGCCCCACGTGGGAGAAAGTTAACCACTTTAGCTTGGCAAAGAAGCTTTATTCTAGCCTTTACTTAATACCCTCATCTAATTTGACCGGACATAATCAACTGGCAATATTACATAGAAATTAGCAGCTGCATGTCGATTATAAGTATGGTATTGAATACAATATTCAATACCAATCCAATACTGATTTTGACAACCTGTAGAACTGGTAAGATACCAAAATAATGAGCATTATAATGACGTGCACTGTTCGATATCACTCACATAAAGAGAAAAAAGGGAAATTATCTTGTAAGAGACTAGCTTTCACCAGCTTCATAAAATGAATAGCAAACACAACAAAGAAGATCCACACCTGCTGGAAAAAAAAGGAGGAGGTACAAATCCTCATGATATACTCTTGTGAAACTCAAATGAATTACCTGAAGAGTCCAAACACCCTTCGGTCCTCGAAAATCTGGTATGCCACTTGAAGTTGAAATCCCAGCCCCTGTAAATGCCACCAGATGTTTGCTCTGAAACAATGGAGACAAACACTAAATAAGAAATATGGTATTCCAGAATCCTTAAGCTACGCATCCTCCCAGTTATAAGAAAATAGAACTGCCAAAAAAGATACTGCATGTTCCAACCTTTTTAATCATTAGGGCAAGTTCTTCAATCTGCAATTAACAAATCAATCCAAAATATTTTAGCATGTTGGTAAAAAGTAAATTGACTAAATAATGAAAATTAATTTGTATATTGCCAACTGCTTAAAAATAGACCATCTTAAGTCATTCTCAGCAAGCATCAGAAAAAAAAGGAGATTCTAATGTCACTAAAACTAACTATATAGTAATTAAATTTTAGAATAGAATTATAACGCTATAGAAGATAAAACAAAATAAAGTTTATTCCTCTAAAGCAAGAGAGACAGTCGGCATGAAGAACATATTACCATATTAGGAACTAATAAACAAAACATGTTGAGAACAAGGCACTGCCTATAACCACCATTACAATAAGAAGCTGTCAAAAAACCAGCCCAATAGTACTATTGATCCAATAATATGGAATGCCTGAAACCACATGGCCTAAAGATGCTTAAAATCAAGTTCATGCTAGTAAGCTTGTTTAGCCCTACAAAGGGCCACAGTCTCTCTCCCATTTTTAATACAAGAATAATCAAAGCATCACAATCTCCCTTGCTGAAAGGCTTACTGTCCTCATCAAGACCCAAGGCCCAACAAATAGTCTACAATCATTCTTGATAGGTAGCATGTGAGACCAACAATCTAACCTAGTGATGGTTCCACCAGGTGATGTGTTTGTAGTCCTATCCACGGATAGCCCTTTGCGACTGAGACTTAATCACCACCAGATAGCCCAAGATCATTCATAACAAAAAGCATATGAGACCTACAACCCAGCCAGTGGAGCATGGGTATTCCATCACTACTTGGATCCAGTCACCACAAGTAGCCCAGTCATTCCTACAGATGAGGCCTACAGATGAGCTTGTAGTAGCTCCAGGCAGTGCTTTTCTACACGGTATAACGTGAGGCCTGCAGATGAGCTTGTAGTAGCTCCAGGCAATGATGTACTTCTAACCTCATCCATGACAGTGCTTTTCTATTTGGATCTAATTATCACACATAGGGATCTAATCATCACACATAGCTATGACTGGTATCATTTATCACAACCTAGCCCAATGTAGGCTTGAAACATGTGGAACAAAAATCCCTAGCCTAAAGATATAGATAGTGCTCATCTAACCTTATATACCATCACAACCCTCTCCCACCTCCAATATGGGACTAATAGGGGCATCAGAGAAGCCCTTTATCAAGGAAACTGGATATGAATTATCATTTCACTAGCACAATCCAAATAAACTTAACATCTAAAAATTTCAACCCTAAATGCATAAGTGATCAAGTTCAACCACAAGAACAAGTAGGCCTATGCATTGTGTTGCAAACAGTGTTTCTACAGATACGAAGAATTATAGAGTTCGACAGACATCACTGTGAAACAGAGATAGCAGTGCATCGAACAGGTTTCTCAAACTAAATGGCAGCAAAGCATTCAGGTTCAAAAACAATGAACGAGAAAGGTCCATCCAACTCCTCAGTTCAAGTTGTCCTTTGCCATCAATTTTTGCCTACCTAATTTGAAGAGCTTCGTATTGCAATAAACTTTCAGATCAACACGGTGCTGGAATAGGTGAATTTGAGTTTCCATCATAGACAAAGTAACACAAGAAAAAAAGATGTAACCAGACTGTCTGCCTTTAAGATTTACCATTCTGGAGTTGCACTAACAATATTAGGATAAAAATGACGCTTAACAATCAACTATGACTTGTAATCTTTGTTAGTCAAGAATATTTAAAGGTTTAAGTTCTCGAACTGGACAGTTGTTTACCCCAACAAATCTTGTAACCTATAGAGAGATCAACATTTATTGAAAGCATCTTCTCAGACTTAAATCTGGCCAATTTCATGATCAAGTTATATCTCTACTGCTTTTCTATCGAGGCATCTGATGGATGGGAACATTTTCCAGATGAAAATCCAATTTAGAGAGAGATAAAAAAAATGAAGATATCCATTCAGGAAGCCAATTAAAGTTGCTATGCTATAAAAAGAAAAAATTCCTTCAAGAACAACGATAGCCTCTGTCGAGTGTACCGCTAAGCACCCATCACCAAACACGATTCAGAGTTGATATACCCGGACTATACATTTAAAATGACTCCAAATAGCTGGGTAAAGACCTCATTGTTCTTGTTGTTTCATCCCAGGACAACTCAGGGAACTAAATATTTCTTGGATCATGAAAGTTTGATGCTTACTGATGTCCTTATGCCACAATCACATCCACTCACCACTTTTTTGCACCAAGAAACATTGAGATAGAGCAAATCTTTGCTCTTAAATGACACCCTCGTTGCCCACAAGTCACAATTTTTTTTTCTGCTATCAACAGAAGAGAAATCAAATGCGGTCACCAAATGAAAAGAAAAACATCAAAAGAGATACACAAAATCGAAAGGAAACAAAAGAAGAAAAAAAAGGATACAGTAACAAGAGAGGGCAAAAAAAGAGACCTTTTGCTGGAGGAGGTCGGGTGGGTCGAAGATCTCAGACATGCCCACGGTGCCGACGTCCTCCCTGTAGGAGAGCTTCTGCGCGTACCCCAAAGACATGGCTTCCCCCCTTTTCTCTTTCCCAAGTAGCAGAGAACTTTGGATCCTCCCAGAAATATACACAGAGGAAAGTCTAAGGAGGCATCAGGAAACGGGAGCGGTGCAAAACAAGCTTTTTAGATTACCTCAGAAATATATACATATATATGTATTAATTCAAAGTTTCCCCTGTGAAACGGGCTGTTGTAGAGGGTGAAACAAGGTACTTTCCCTACGCGCATATCCGTTACTCACATCGCTTACTCACATACAGTTGGACGCGGTTGGCTCCAAAAGTGGGTCCCAACAGTACCTGGTAGCTTATTTATGGATATATAAAACGGGTTAACAACCGCCGTTCTTTGTAATGAGGGTGCCGTCACTGGCAGTGAGAATAGACACGACGAAACGGGGCCAATGTTGCGCGTGCAAGCTTGGGAATCGTGAAACCAAGCGACGTCGCCGGTGTTCCTTCTAGAAGCCACCGGGATGAGCTTGGGACGTGCACGGCACGTGGCGTGTGTGTGCTACTGTTGTCAAGTGAGAGATGTTATGGGATTGGATTCGGATCCAAAAAGACGATCCGTATGATCCGAATCCAGCAGTTTAAACCAGTTTTACGAACAGTGATGATGCATACCCGATCCGATATGATTAATGGATCTAAGTCCAGATAGTGTCAGGAATTAAATCCAATATATAATAAATGAAATCAATTATTCAGTGGACCCCATTCACAATATAACGAATCTAAAGGCAAAATGATGAATCTTAGATCAATATGGTCGAGGCCGGCCTTTAGAAAGCGAAGACGGCAGCCACAGCGGCGGAGAGAGCGGCGAAGGCAGCACCAGCTGCGATAGGCGCCCCTGCTCCGCTAGGCGACGTCGTGGGGCTCAGCGCGTCTTCCTCCTCCGGTGCAGGCGCAGCAGCCAAGGATGGCTCCGGAGGGCTGCCGGAGATCGGACCCTCAGCTGGGATATCGTCGTCACTGTCGTCGTCCAAGTCGGCGTCGGGGGTCGGCGCCGCGGCAGGGGAGTTCGAGGGCGATGTGGCGGCCTCCGGAGAGAGAGCCTTCGCTGGGGCGTGGGCGGAGGCGGGGGATGTGGCCGGGGAATGGGCGGCGGCGGGAACGGTGGCCGGGGCGGTGGAGGTGGAGGTGGAAGGGGCGGTGGCGGAGGCGGGGGATTTCGCCGGAGACTGGGCCGATTCCGGTTGCTCGGGCTTGGAGCTGGGCCCAGGAGCGGGTGCCTCGGCGGCTGCGGTGAGGCCGGCCGCAGCCAGGAAGAGGACGACCAACACGGTGGCGCGATACATTTTCCGGCGAAATCGAGGGACTAGGAGGAGGAAGAGGAAAATTAAGGATTGGTGAATGGGGCGATGGGAAGGAAGGAGGAGAGGAGCGCTCGATTTATACGGATGGAAGGGGAAAACGTTCGAATCTGGGGAGGAGGAAGAGGGCCGAGGTCGGCGGCGGAGCCAGCAACGCGTCCGCTGATGCGAACGGCGCCGCGGGTGAAGCGGCGGGTGAAGCGGAGCGCAGGGAGGGGCCCGTATCGCTTCAGAACGAATGGCGATGCGGGAAGGGAAACGAAGAGGAATCGTTGATCAGACGGTCGAAATTGTGCCGATCTACGTCATTCAAGCTCAATCTAACGGTGCTCATGATGGGGACTCAAATAGGTCGAGCCGAAACATGAAGAGACTTGGGCCGTTATTGAGCCCACGTCATGCCGACTGCGAAGCATATAATAAGTCTTTTTATTTTTCTTTTTCCAATATTTCTTTCCAAAAAAAATAGTTTTACACTGAAATTAATCTAATGAATCCAATAATAAATAAACAATATTTTGCACTGATGAAATAGATTTAGTTAAATTATGAGTTATGACCACCTGCAAATGATATCAAAGAACAGTCATAATATGTGAATGAGATTTAGAGGGACTCCTGTTCAATCATCTCAAGTTTATATTTCCAAATATTACTAAGAAATATTTTCTAGGAAAAATAGTATATGAATCAAGATGAGATAATGAGCTTCTCTTTTTGTCTCTGGAATGCAGAAAAGGTAAAATCTGGCTTCTCCTGATGAAAAATGTCAATCTGCAGCTCTCTTCATATCTATGAAACATGCTGTCTGCTCAAAAGGATCGGTAGCACTTGGAAAAGCAAATGTGAAAGGTATATTATACTGCAAGATTGAAGGTGAAGATCTGGTACAAGCCTCAAGCTCATATTATGGCCAAAATGTCCAACTCCAATGGTGATTTGAGATAACCACTCAGAGAAGGGCTGAAGAGGCTTGGAGGCATTACTGAAGATTACTATATCCAAACATCTATTGTTCTCTAACAGATATCCAAGAAGAAAAGGCTTGAGTTAGTAGTAGAAGAGTTCGTCGTCTCCTGTCCAAATTTTGCTGATCTGTCTAGTGTTTGACATGGGGATCTTTCAAAGGCATGCTGTTGTTGATCGGAGGCCGGCGGCGGCCCGTTGTGTGGTAGTCCTTGTGCAGCATGTTGAACATTTCAGTGACTGCATCTGCTGGTTTTTTGGTTCCAATTCTCTGGAATGGATCATGAGATCCACGGTAGAATGGTTCAGCTGCTTTTGGCTTCAGTGTCTCAGCTGAATTCCCTTTTGTGCTCTTCTTGATGGTGGTTGTTGGTCTTGTCCTCAGTGCACTATTGCTTCTGGAGGTCTGAATCAGAAAACAAGTAGGCAATCAATATGAGCATTTACAATACTTCAAACATGTAGATTCTTGATGATGGTTTCATGTAGACCTAAAAACATTGTGCTAAAGGTCTTGTATGTCAACTAACTTCAACTGTATGTGTGTGTGTGATAGATAGATAGATAGATAGATAGATAGATAGATAGATAGAGAGAGAGAGAGAGA